ACAAAACCGGCCCCAGGACCGACCCTTGGGGTACTCCACTTGATACCGGCTGCCAACTAGACATGGAGCCATTGATCACTACCCGTTGAGCCCGACAATCTAGCCAGCTTTCTACCCACCTTGTAGTGCATTCATCCAGCCCATACTTCCTTAACTTGCTGACAAGAATACTGTGGGAGACCGTGTCAAAAGCTTTGCTAAAGTCAAGAAACAATACATCCACTGCTTTCCCTTCATCCACAGAACCAGTAATCTCATCATAGAAGGCGATTAGATTAGTCAGGCATGACCTTCCCTTGGTGAAGGAGCCCCACCATCACCGCCTGGGGATGGGAGAGGTGGGCCCCCAAGGCTGAAACTCTGGATCCAGTCCTCCAGTGCCAGGGGGGTGCGCAAGCATCCGTCTAGGATATTTATTGGGTCCCCCATTCCCCTAGTGTCCCAGCACCTCAAAAGCTTATTGTTACAATCACAGACTCACAGCATTAGAAGGGACCGCAAGGGTCATCTAGGCCAGTGGCTCTCAACCAGGGGCCCAGGGCCCCCTGTGGGGCCACGAGCAGGTTTCAGGAGGCCGCCAAGCATGGCCGGTGTTAGACTCATTGCGGCTCAGGGCAGAAAGCCGAAGTCCCACCGCGTGGGGTTGAAGCCCGGGGCCATGAGCCCCGCCACCCGGGGCTGAAGCCGAAGCCTGAGGAATGTAGCTTCGCAGTTCCCCTGTGGCGTGGGGCCCTGGGCAATTGCCCTGCTTCCTCCCCCCACCCACCCAATGCCGTCCCTGGCTTTTATATGCAGAAAACCAGGTGTGGCACTGCGGGGCCGTGGAGTTTTTATAGCATGTAGGGTGGGGGCCGGGGCCTGTGAAAGGAAACGGCTGCGAGCCCCTGATCTGGTCTAACCCCCTGCCACGATGCAGGATTCGTTGCATCTAACTAGAGTCGCACAACAGGCCCTGGGAGGCCGGGGAAGAGAGGGACTGAGCCCCAACCAGATTAAATGTGCTGCTTGGGGAGAAGGTGGCGTTGCTTTACATCAGTGGTTCTCAACCTGTTTCTCACCGGGGGCCGCGTATGCGGCTCGCAGTGTGGTACATGGGCCGCGGGTTGAGAACCACAGCGTCCCCCCTTAAAACGGCCCACAGTCCCCTATGCCCAGCGCCCCCGCCCAGAGCGGGGCCAGGAGCGGAGCCAGGTGCAGAGAAGGGGGGCCAGGAGCGGAGCCCCACCTAAAACCTGGGGCCGCTGCAGCAAACCCCTGGTGCCCTGCACCCCCTCACTGCCCAGAGCGCCCCCTGCAAACCTATCCACAGACCCACTCCCCCGCCCCGTGCTGGCAGGAGCGCTGGTGCAGGCTGCAAGACGCTGTCTCCCCCTCAGCCAGCCCCGCCCCCTTGCCAGACCAGAGCCGCAAATTTTGAATTTTTTTTTTTTAGGCACACCGCTGGGCCGCGGGTGGAGAGCCGCTGCTTTAAATAGTTCCCGAGCCCTCTAGTGGTGCTCCTGGTGGCACGCGGTTTGCCAGGCGGCCACACCGCTCTGGGATTTGCCACGGGGAGGATGGCCTAGGGTTGCCGACAGCCCCTCATTACAAGAGATGTCCCTTCCCCCCCCATCTCTGTAAAACAAGATCGGGAATTGCTGAGTGCTACCAAAAGCAGCAAGAAATGCCCCTGGTAAATGCAGAGGAGTGCTGCTTAGTATTATTCTTAACCAGAATATCAGGAAGAGGGGTAGGGCGGGGGTGCTAGGAAAACAGTCCCTTATTTTTGAAATACAATGCTGGCAACCGTAGATAACCTGCCCATGTGGAGAGCCGCCTGGCCAACGCTAAATGTCCAAGAAGCAGGAGCCAGGCCTCCGAAACCAGGAGGTTTTAGGCATTTAAAAAAAAAATCCTTATGATTTTGAAGCTGATTTGGGGATGTCTTTCGTTTGCTTTCTGGGCCGTTGGGCGCTCGGGGCTCACACGTTTCAAGGTTCTCTTTGCAAAGATGACCCCTAGACTCTTATTACAAAACACCCAGCTGAGATTCTCCCATCGTCACGTTCTGCCAGGAGCTGGGGCTTTATGGAAAACACTGATTCTAGCGAGACTCAGAATGGGCGACGCCAACGAGAAGCAAAAGACGCAACACTAACTTGGCCCAGGGCATTGCGATGGGGAAGGGGCCAAATCTCTTGTGGTCCTGACGTGAGGGGGGGGGGGGGTTGAACCTGCTTTCTCGGGTTGAAGCAGTCTTGAGAGCAAATCACTCAAGCTGCGATGGCGCCCTGGGAACGGAAAAAAAAAGAAATCATCCAACAAAGGCTTTCTCGTTTCAAAGGCTAAAGGCAAACCAGCCCTGGTGGGACTGGCCTGATCCCACGAGCTACCGGCTGCTGGGGTTGAATCCCAGCCCTGGCTTCAGAGCGATGGGCTTTGTATTTTTTATTCCCTCTCTCTCCAGAGCTGTGATCTTGAATTCCAATTCATCCGGAGAGAACAACAAAAGCCCCAACTTGGCTCTAGCATGGCTAAGTTTGGAAAGGAACAGGAAAGCTGGGGAGGGGCGCGTGGTGTTCAGAGATCTCTCCGTGCTCACAAGAAATCTGGTTTATTCTCTGTCTGCATCCAACTGACTCTGTGTAACAAGAGCCGCACAGCGTATGGTCCAGTCTCCGTCTGGGAAACCCAACCCTTAAAGACAGTCTCCAGCATCATCCGTTTGTGTGTGCGTACGACGAAATCGACATCTACCGGCATTTGCCTATAAAAATCAAACCCTTCCAACCTAATTCAAATGATAAAACCGCCTTGAACTACAGCCATCTGCCCTTGTTCCACCAAACAGCCTGTGAGGTAGGGTAGTGCTGTTATTCCCGTTGTACAGCGTGCCTCAGTTTCCTCGGGGAGACTAAGTAACCTACCCAAGGTCACGGAAAGAGTCCATGGCACAGCAGGGAATGGAATCCAAGGCTCCCAGGCTAGCGCCCTAACCGCTGCATCAGACTCCCTCTCCCTGCTGGCTGCAGAGAGAGATGCAGCGAGACGGACACTGGCGGTCAGCAGAGAGGGGAAAATCACATGGCAGAGTCAGCGTCAGCCCTTGGAAAACTTCTTAGAGATTAATTCATTGGGAGCAGTGGGGGAGATGGGGAAGTCTCTTTGTGCCAAGCAGCACTGAGAAACGGCCAGGGATATAATAAGCTCTTTGGTCAGCGCTCGGCATTCACAGCCTGTGAGCAGCGAACCTCCAGCGTGAGCAGAATTTCAAAGGAAGGCCATCTTGGGCCTCCCCCCATGATCTTTGTACACCACTGTGAAATCCTTTTGCAGCTTCTCTAACTAATCAATGACCTCTCCGCCCCCAACCCCACCCCAGTGGGTCTAGCAGACTGTCTGGGGCAAACAGGATCTTGCAAAACACACGTTATTAACACCCAGCTTGGGTTCGTAACCACAACGCCACCCAGAATGACGCCCAGCTGAAATCCAGCCACGCTGCTCTCATTATATTAAGGGTTTTCTTCAGTGTCCCATGAAGCCAGGAGCTTTCAGGTTGTCGCCGAAGGCAAGGCATCCTGGAGTAGGTTTCAGAGTGGTAACCGTGTTAGTCTGTATCAGCAAAAACAACGAGGAGTCCTTGTGGTATTTTAGCTTGGGCCAGAACCAAACTCCTGGATCCAAATGCCCTCCCCCCCACCACGCTCACCAGCTTTGGAACAGTTTCAGAACTTGGCAAGCGCCGATGCCAGTTTTACGGCCGCATCGCCAGATTTATGCAGGGATAAGTCAGCGGAGAATTGCTCCCTTCAGATTTGGATCATGCCTACAGACCCAGATTCTCATTTACCCTACGGACCTTTGAACTCTAATTGATGTCCTCTTAAGGCCCCTCTACTCTGCCAGAGTTGGGTAAAGAGGTTCCTAGTGCAAATTAGATCCCATTTATTTCCCTACAGGACCCTTGCTTCATTCAGTGTACAGAAAGGCCGGTGCTCTGGGAATGAACTGGGGCTGTGTAGCAAAGAAGGCTGTTTGTAACTACAGCCCTGAGCAATGAATTTCTTAGCCTCTCTGAAACTCTAGACATGGAAGGAAGGTAACTTAAGTGAACAGCCTCAGTTCTGCAGAACAATCTCACACAAGCAGAGATACAGAAAATTCCCCCCCCCCCCAGGAATTTATCTGTTTTTATTACCACCACAACAAAAACAGGTGAAAATCAGTGCAAAAAACGATTAATCATTGTTCTGGGTAAATATCGGGGTTTATTTTGTTGGCTGGAAAGACGGGGGGGGGGGAGTTTTCAGCCGATTAATGGCTCGAATTCTGTTAATGCTGCAGCCAACCACGTCAATTAACACAGAACCCAGAACACAAGGCCATTGCTGAGTTTAAGAAAACAATCTCTCTCTAATCCCCAAATAAAACTTTTCATTTGAATCAAGAGGTTACCATTGTAGACTCAGAACTATTAGCCTATAAATATTTACATTTAATAATTGGGCCGCACCATTTGCATACACTCATTTTTTTTTTAAACTTTCAAATACTTCCCTGTGTTCTGAAACGTATTCTGATACAGATTTTCGTTTTCTTCCCATTTTAGCGTGTCAGATCTTTAAACTCTTATCTGCTAGCAGCTTGAAATGGGTACATGGTGAGCGTGAGATTCATCAGTTTGTTCAGATGCGCACACGCTTCAGAGCTCGTGTGCGTGCCTGTGTTTATTGTGTGTAGCTTCTAGACTAATACGTAGAGCTTTACTTCATAAACAGGGAGCTTTGCATATCCACACAGACTAATGTATTAACTTAATACAAATATCTCATGCAATGTTTTGTATATTCCTAATAAAACAAGTTATTTTTTTACATATTTGAATGATACAAAAGTAGGGTGAAAATCAGTAAAAAACTGCATAATACTTTTTGCAAAACCTGGGAATTTTTCGGTACAAATTGGTTTAAACCAAAAATGAAGGGGCTTACTCATCTTGTATATTTCCTCCCGCCCAGGTGGAGCGATGATGAACATGATGCTGCTGCTCTGGGTATTTTCCCGCCTTGCTTTTACAGACGCATTTATCTCTGGGGACAGTGCAGGTAAGTCGGACACCCTCCGAGCCAGTCAACAGGCAGCTTTGCGGTGGCTGCGGCCAAAATCCGATCAAAGCTGATTCAAGAGGCAGTAGGGTCGAGTGCATTAGGGCACGGGGCTGCCTCTGCAGGGACCTGGGGTCTAGTCCCGGCTGTGCCTCTGACCTTGGGCCAGTAACTTCTCCTGGATCTGTCTTGTTGAGTTGGGTTCAAGGCAGGGACTGTCTCCTGCTATGGGTACATGCAGCACCCAGCAGAATGAAGTCTGGATCCTGGTTTGGGGCTCTAGGCATTATTGTAACGCTTTTACAGGCAGGCCTCTTATTAAGGTTGCCCAACACTTCCCATTCTAAGACCCTGTTTTCAGTTGTTTTTAACTTTGCCAAACTTAAACCACCTGGGCTGAAAATTTTCCATGCCAGGTGTTTGACTTAGGCTGAATTTTATGGGGTGGTAGGAGGGGGGATTTTTGCTGAAATAGAGCAACCAGTTCTGAAAGTGAGGCCAGGAATAGAGACGTTCTTTGGCCCATATTACAGAAGTCAGGTGACCTTTCTTTGACAAGCTTTAATGCCCCTGCCCCCCCACCCCTCACTCCCCAGCTTTGGAGCAGGGACTTGAAATTTGACAGGGGGGTGGCCTCTGGATCCGGGAGCTGCCTTTTGCGGTCCCTGTGAAAATCCACTCAAATTTGACCAAGTCTTCGGTGGGAGAGGAGGGGAAGTTTGCACATGCCACATAGAGACTTAGAAAAGATGGGCTGGAAGGGACCTTGAGAGGTCACCAAGCCCAGTCCCCTGCGCTGAGGCAGGACCGAATAAACCTAGACCAGCTCTGACAGGGGTTTGTCCAACCTGTTGTTAAAAACCTCCAATGAGGGAGATTCCACAAGCCTGCTCCAGAGCTTACCTGCCCTAGAGTTAGAAAGTTCTTCCTGATGTCTCACCCAAATCTCCCTTGCTACAGATTAAGCCCCTTGCTTCTTGCCCTGCCGTCCCTGGACACAGAGAACAATCTATCCCTGTCCTCTTTATAACAGCCCTTCATTTGTTTGAAGACTTATCCACCCCCCTTCCCAGGCATGCTTTTCTCAAGCCCAGGGCTTTTTTAGTCTTTCCTCCTAGGTCAGGTTTTCTAAACCTTTGATCACTAAAACTTTGCACAGTATGCCCGCTGAGGTCTCACGGACCTCTGCCTTACGGACGACACCTGTTTGTACACCCCCAAAATGATATTAGCCTTTTCCGTGACTGTTTCCTGGTGTCCGCTCATTCAGACAGCTATCTGCGAGAATCCCCAGCTCCTTTCCAGCAGTATGCCCGTTAGTAGGTGGTCTTAGATTTGAGCTAAATTTCCTGAAGATTCTGCCGGCTCCGAGCGAGAGCTTGGGGCCAAGCAGGAATTTTCCTGCCATGACAGAGCTGGGCTGCCGCAGTGGGGCAGGCCCCTGACCTGAGAGTAGGCAACCTTGTGCTCTCCATGACCTCCCTGCTGGGCCCATGCTAAGCTTGCAAAGTCAAGCCCGCAAGAGTTAGGAAATGCTAGCAAAATGTCCCCCATGGTCATCTTCATTGTGAGACAATCTTTAATTACATGATCGTATACTCCCCCCCCCCCGCCCACCCCCCACCCCAGGGCCCCTCCTCAATCAGCACACAAGATAGAGGGTGCTCTAGGGACATATCAGAGGGGTCTGTAGGACCCCTGTTGATGCAAAGCTGGGGAGTGGGGGGGGGGGCAATTGGCATTCCTCATTTTCTGGGTGCCTGTCTTGAGGCCCTAGGGCACGACTGGCAGAAGTGCCGGACGCTCGCAGCTACAGCTGTTCTCTGTGGGAGCTAGGCTTTGAGCCTGTGAAGTGCTACACGATGCTAAGTCGCATGAAAACCACCACCAGCTGCCTCAAATCGGGCACCCAAAATTAGCAGCTACGGCTGAGCTTCGTCTCTGTGTGCCGCAGTTCCCCCTCTGTCAAATGGGGATAATCGCACCCTGCCCCCACATGGGGGTGTTGTGAAACTAAAGTCATTAACAGCTGCCACGTGCCCCGATACCACAGTGAGGCGCACCAGGGAAAAGACCCCAAGAAATGTCACAGGTTCGTTCTGGGCTTGGCAGGCCTCCTCGGGGCTCCTCTGTCTCCATCACCTCCCGTCAGCCACAGCTCAGTCACTCGGAGAGGGCGGGGTCTGTTCCAGCTTGCCATCCAGTCCCCCAGCCGGCCAAACCCCCATCCAGGTCAACAGGAGAGTCCAGGTAAAAACCTGAACCAATGTCTTATACCGGGTCTTCAGTCTGGATGCACCCCTTTAGTGCCAAAGCTTTGCACGTCCCATCCTCCAAGGGGGTATACGTGTGGGGGAGGGTGATAAGGGAACCCCCTGCCTCAGGGGGCCAGCCCACAGCCCTTGTGTAAGCAGCGAGGGTCTGTCATTTCTTACAATCCCGCACCTGGGCCCTGTCCTACCTTGGCCAGCTTGCAGGCGTCTCTCTCCCAGGGCTGCATTCTCTTTCTCAGAGCAACTCTCGCGTCTCCAGCACCCAGCCTCCCCTGCCAGAGCTGCAGCCTCCCGCCTGCAGCTGTGGTTAATGGGCCAGTGAGTACCAGCTGGAGAGGTAAAGCACCCATCTGTTAACCCCTTCCCCGCTGCCACAGCGTGAGCGCTGTACCTCCCAGCACAAGGAAGTTAGCCCTTCTGGCTTCAGAGCAGGGTTTCATTCACTAAATTAAGCAGCATTCATTAAATTAAGGCCTGGGGCCAGGCAGTGAACAGCAAGCAGAAAGCAATGCATGGAATAGCAGTTTGCCGAGTGAGCCCCGTCACTGAATAAAGCAGGGGTCCTGGGGGGAGAGGTGCCAAACCCACGCATGAAGTCTGTGGGGTCACACCCCGGGTGAATTTGCCCCAGAGGGAGGTTTCCTGAGCTGTCCCTGGGCATGTTTTAGTTAGGTCTCTACAGATACCCCTGCACGGCAGCACCAGGTGGGGTCTTAAGGTGGGTTAGTTAACTCGGGTTAAAACAACAGTGGAGACAGAACTCCTCAGCTCCCAACGTGGGTAGCAGCTCAAGTTAAAGCCTGGGTTTGTACAGCACCAAGCACTTGGCAGCCTGGTCAATGACGAGGTGCTAAGGTAATACAAATAATAATATAAGGGAACCTGGGGTTGAACTTGGAGCTGCTCACCCGATTGTCCATGGTTTCACTGCTAGTTTAACCCTACCTGGGAGCTCACCCAACACCCTGCACACACTCACAGTGCTCTGATCAGGGCTCTGGGCTCAGCCCTCTTGTCAGAGTGACGTTAAACGGCGCAAGGTCCAAGCAGACAGACGTCACACTGAAATCCAGGTCCGGAGAGGGGATCACAGGCAGTTAAAATTACTGAGAAGAGACAGAAAAGCAGCAATTTATGGACAAACAGACTGAAAATGCCAAGCACTGTGTGGTGTAAGTGTGTATGTGTCCACGTGCGTGTGTGTTACCAGTGATCTTTGCTGGATGGAATCGTTACTGCTCAGTTGCGTGTCATGGACCCTATACTGCACAAAACTAACTGGGTTCTCCTGGATGACTGCTGACCTTTTGTTTCCTCCCTCTCCCTGGCAGACGACCTCAAGGCTCTGAGGGTCTCCATTGCCAAACACCCGCCAGTCCGGGCAGTGCTGGCAGGCACCCTCACCATTCCCTGCCACGTCACCTACCTGCGTCCCCTGGCCACCTCTAGTACAGCGGGGCGCCGGGCGGTGTTGGGGGCGCCCCGGGTCAAATGGACCTTCATCTCTGAGGGGAAGGAGGCTGAGATCCTGGTGGCCCGGGGGCAGAAGGTGAAGGTGAGCGAAGGCTACCGTTACCGTGTCTCCTTGCCCTTCTACCCGGCCACGCCCACTGACGCCACTTTGGTGATGAGCGAGCTCCGGTCCAATGACTCCGGGATCTACCGCTGTAATTTGCAGCACGGCATCGAGGACGGGCATGACCTGCTGGAGGTGAAGGTCAAAGGTAACAGCACCCTAACCCTGACATCTGTCGCGGGGATGGGGGTGGGACGGGATGAAGGTCTGGCACAAGCCCCGGAGGGATTGTAATTGCCTGACTGCCTGTATAAGTCAGGCCCACTGCGTGAACGGTCAGTGGCGGGGATTGAACTGGGGACATCTGGTGGTAAGCGCACAAGCCTCTAGCGCATGAGCTAAAAGGCCCGTCTCTGTTCGCGAATGCTATCGTAGCCTTGTTATATTGTATTATTATCGTATTACTCCATCTTGTTATTCCCTGCTTGACTTAGCTTTCTGCAGCTCTTGACTCTACGTGGAGGGGTTAACCCCACTTCCCCTTGCGCCGAGATGTGTGAACATAACCCCCCCACTAACACAGCGTGTACTCTGTCGTCCTCTAGTGGCTGAACTACTAAAGGATAACAGCCTACCACAGCTATCACTTCTTGGAGTTGCTCTTTTTGTTCAAGCACTAGTTGGCTGTGCTGTGTCCAGGGTTCAGTAACTGCTGACGTCTCACACTGGTCATACCGTGGTGTGTCATTAGATGAATACTTTTATTTATTGCCAGGACTGCAGAGAAGTTTCTGATATGCTGTTATTTATTTCACTTTGATGGATTTCCCTGGCAAAACCAAACAATTTCCTTAATGCACTCTGTAGGCTATTTCTCCTGGTTTCAATTAACTTTGCACACTTCTAATATTCAAGTGTTAATCTCATAAGATTCCCCGTTTCTTCCCCCTCCCCTCCCGGAGACAGGTTGTATTGCTTATGGCAAAAGCCCCCTGCAAAGTCCAGCTGGCAACGCACCCTCTCCTCTCCTGCCTGCCTATCCCTTCTCATTGGTTTCTGCCTTTCTGCAAAACCGGCAGGAAGCCCAAGTTCGCCCATTCATTTTAGAAATGTTTCCGGCTGCTCTGATTCCTCGCTTGACATTGCCAGACATGCAATTTACACTGGAGCGATGGGCAGCCTGGTTTATGGATGATTTCCTCTGCAATTTTGCAGTGGCTCTTTAGTGGAGGGAAATCATGGTCTTGCAGTTAAAGCTTAGAAGCAGGAGTCAGGACTCTTGTGTTCTGTTACTAACTTGCTGTGTCACTTGGGGCAAATCACGTCCCTTCTTTGTGCCTCAGTTTCCCTATCTGTAAGGGGGGGAGGGGACACTAATGATTCTTGTCCAGCTCAGAGGGAAACTGTGAGTGCTAGTTTACATCAAGATCATTGCACAAAAGGGCAAAACTATGAAAAATAGTTAGCACTTATACAGCATGCTGCATGCAGATATCTCGGACTTCCTAAAGATGGGTATTTTCATCTCCATTTGACAGACAGGGAAACTGAGGCACGTAAAGACGGGAAATTACGTGGCCGAGGCCACAAAGGAAGTTGGGGGGCAGAACCGGACTTAGAACCCCCCTCTCCTGATTCTTTGCTCTCACCCCCATCCTACATTGAGTGGATGATCATGTTTTCAGAACAGTCAGGACCCAATGGCTGGAAAATGAAGAGAGTCAGGGTAGAAATAAGGTGCAAATATTTAACAGCGAGGGGCAATCAGCCTTCGGAACAACTGACCTCCGGGGAGGGGGGCTGTCCGTCACTTCAAATCTTTAAATCAAGACTGGATAAAAGCTGCACTCTAGTTCAACAAGAAGTTCCCCTCGTGGTGTCTGCATCACAGGATGAAGTTCTCAGGCCTGTGCTATGCAGAAGACCAGACTAGATGATCAAAATGGTCCTTTCTGGCCTTAAGATTTTGCATAGGATCCTATGATCTGTCATAACAGGCTACTGATGTACGCAGCAAGCGAATGCACTCAGGGCGTACAAGGCCTAGACCAGGGGTTCTCAAACTTCATTGCACTGCAACCCCCCTTCTGACAACAAAAGTTACTACACGAGCCCAGGAGGGGGGACCGAAGCCTGACCCCACCCGAGCTCCACTGACCCGGGCAGGGTGGCCAAAACCAAAAGTCTGAGCCCGGTCAACCAGGGCTGATGCCCTTGGGCTCAGGCTTCAGCCCCGGGTGCCGGGTCTCAGGCTTTGGCTTCGGCCCTGGGTGGTGGAGCTCGAGCTTCGGCCCTGGGCCCCAGCAAGTCTAACGCCTGCCATGGTGACCCCATTATGTATTGAGACAGCACCGTAGCTGGCTGATGGTGAGTGTGCAGTACTGCACCTCCCTAATCCCCCTGGATTAATGGCCCACCAGACCTGTGTTTGCAAGGACATTTAGATGCTGTTTCACACTCTGTCCTCTAGGGGTGGTGTTCCTTTATCGGGAGGGCTCCACGCGCTACGCCTTCACCTTTGCCAAGGCTCGGGAGGCCTGCGCCAGGATAGGGGCACAGATCGCCACCCCCGAACAGCTGTACGCCGCCTATTTCAGTGGCTACGAGCAATGCGACGCGGGCTGGATCGCAGACCAGACGGTCAGGTGGGCAACTCACACAGAGGATAGATTCAGGTGGATGCGGAACTCACATGACACATTGTTCACCTGTGGAACTCACCGCCACTGGATATTAAGGAGATGAATAATGATAAGTTCCAATACGGGGCAATCCACTTCCCCAGTACCAAAATGGAATTCTTCCTATGCCACTGTACAGTGATGATGATATGATATGTATTACAACAGTGCCTTGAGACCCCAGTACTGGACTGGGACCCCATTGTGCTAGGCACTGTACACACCCCTAAGGAAAAGATGGCCCGCGTGCCAAAGAGCTTGCAGTCTAAGACAATGTACATGGCTTTGGTGAACTTTTCTCCAAATTAAACACTGATTAGAGCAGGCTGAAATTTTCCCCCTGCAACGATTCCAAAGCTGTCTGGAGTTTGGAGGAGCTCTTGGGCACAGTTTTCAATCTCTTTAACCTAGAGATTGCAAGCAAGCATCAGGAGGTCATCACCACCCTGTTCTTCCCATGTAGCTAAATGGGACAGGTGGTTGGCTTGGAGGAGATTCCTGGAAAGGGAAAGGTTGAAAACCACTGCTCTAGGAGCCTGATTGAAACCCCATGGTTGTCAAAGGAAAGGCTCCCATTGATTTCAATGAACTTCAGAGCAGAGTTGCTGGTCACCTAATCAACGGGCCCTAAATGGGCTAACATTTCCAAATGTGGCCACTGGCTTTGAATGCCGGGGTCTTGGTTGCCTCACCTTGGATTTTTAGAAAGTGCTGGCTCCCCTCAAAGTCAGCTGGAGCTGCAGGTGCTTTTGGAAATCAAGCTGCCAGGGTGGTCACGAAGGGGGTGTTCCAGAAAACAGTGGCATCCAAAAATCAGTGGCCACTTGGGGTGGGGCTACTTTGCCAGGGTCACCTAAGCCCTCTGCTGGGAGCCACCCAAGGGTTTAGCACAGCATCTGACCGGCTGGCTCCAGCAGTCCTTTTCTCTCTGTGGAAAATCAGTACTCTTGTTTTCTCATTCCAGGTACCCAATCCACACCCCTCGTGAGGCCTGTTATGGAGACATGGATGGGTTGCCAGGGGTCCGTAACTATGGAGTAGTGGACCCAGAAGACATGTACGATGTATACTGTTACGTTGAAGATCTGCACGGTAATTATGACACCAAAGTGCATTGCGTCCTTATCTGCCTTAATGGCCCATGCTGGATCAATCCAGTCCAGTTTCCTGTCTTTGACAGCTGCCAGTTCAGGGTCCAATAAACCCTGTAAAGGTCAACAGAGGAACAAACTACACACATGGCTTGGCTTTGGCCCTGAAGCCTTGCAGTAGCTTTGAAGAAGCATGTCAGACATAAGTTCTATGTCCTGCAGTATGCACCTGATCTACTGAGGTGCTGAGCACCCTTTGCTCCCATTGACTTCAACAGGTGTGGAAGGCGCTAAGCGCATTGCAGAACTGAGCCCTCAGTCCTGGCTACTGGAAAACATCCTAGATGCAAGTTGAGAATCTAGCACATGGGACCAAAGCACAAAAGCAGACGTACTCTAGAGTTTTCTCTATATAACCTGGTTTCCAGGAGTTATGGGACATGTTCAGGGTCTAGACGCATACAGTGTCCCAAGTTTTGGGCACGTGTCCCATTTTCTGGTCCATCTCTTGATTAAGGTCTGGGAGATGCCTAGAGTTAATGGGGAAACTGTCCTAAATCTGGGCCCATGCCCCAAGGCCTGAATGTACAATGTATGCTGGGGATTTTGCCTTGTATTCTGGGATCTTGGGTGGACTGTGAACACAAAGTCCATGCCCTTTGTTCCACACTTACCTCCTAAACTCATAGATGATCCTAGGTTACGAGCATATTATCTGACCTTATGAAAGCATATTCTAGTCTTCAGGTGGAATATCTCAGATTCTGTTATAGGGCTAAGCATCTCACGCCATAGCTTGGATTCGGTGTGCGTGTCAGGATTCTGGAAGATAGTTTTGGTTGGTGAATGTCTAGAGACTAGAAAATGGCTTGGATTATTGGTACACATCCCAGAGGCTGGGAGATACATACATATATCCTAGAAACAAACCTTAAATCCTGGGTATATGAGTCTGAGTGCATATCCTCCTGTGTCATTGCATATCCTTGGCTGGTGGATGGTTGCATGTTCTGTCCTGGTGGATTGTCACATGTCCTTTTCTAGGACATCATTGCATGTCCTGCCCTCGTGTGTCATTACATGTATGGCTCTGCCTGACTATTACATGCATGGTGCTGACCTGCTGGACTGTCACATATCTAGCCCTGGTGTGTCATTAGATCACTGGTGATGCCCTAACCACTGCACATATCACGGCACTGCCCTGAAGGATTGTCACATGTCCTATGCTGGGGGACTGGCATGTGTCAGACCCTAGAGCACTGTCGCCCAGGCTGCTCTGGCGGGTCATTACGATCCTGGTGGTGAGCTGATCCGCACAGGTATGACACAGAGGTGGTGAAGCGTCACATGTCCTGCCCTGATGGGTCACTACACGGATGAGCTGACTTACGTGATATGGGCTATTGACATTCGCTGCCATGTGAGCGGGAAATTGTGGGAGTGTGCAGTCTTGCTCTTCCCGCTGGCTATTCCTAAGTGCTAGCCCTTCAGCCATAGCATAATGCAGGGGCCAGTGTACTTACCTGGGAACCCGGTGAGCGGCAGTCTAGTTCAGCCTCCGGCACTGAGCTGTGGGGTTGCGGCTGGTTGCTGTGCCTCAGTTTCCCCGTCTGCATAACGAGGCGACTGACCTACCTCTTTGATCGGGTGGGCAAACTTTTTGGCCCGAGGGCCACATCGGGGAATAGAAATTGTATGGTGGGCCATGAATGCTCACAGAATTGGGGTTGGGGTGCGGGCTCTCGGGTGGGGCTGGGGATGAGGAGTTTGGGGTGCAGGAGGGTGCTCTGGGCTGGGATCGAGGGGTTTGGAGGCCAGAAGGGGGATCAGGGCTGGGGCAGGGGTGCGGGAAGGGGTGCAGGTTCCAGCTGGCATTGCGGGCTATAAGGTGGGGCTGGGGATGAGAGGTTTGGGGTGCAGGAGGGTGCTCTGGGCTGGGATCAAGGGGTTTGGAGAGCAGGGAGGAGGATCAGGGTTGGGGAATGGGGTGGGCCATGGGGAGAGGCTCAGAGGTGCAGGCTCCAAGCGGCGCGCTTACCTCAAGCGGCTCCTGGAAGCAGTGGCATGTCCCTTTTCCGGCTCCTCTGCAGAGGCACGGCCAGGCGGGTCTCCATGCTGCCCCATCCACAGGCACCGTCCCTGCAGCTCCCATTGGAGCGCGTAGGAGCGGCCCCAACCCAGTACTCCGGCAGGATCGGGGCCGAGCTGCGTGGTGCGGCTCGCGGGCCAGCTTAAAATGGCTCATGGGCCGGATATGGGCCGTAGTTTGCCCACCCCTGTCTTAGATAGTGCTTGGAGATAGATGGCAGCTAATGGATCCACTGGGAGTTTGTTCGATATTGTAATTAGAAGGGTGGGGTGGGTCATGCAGCCATAGGAAAGGGTCGGGGAGGCTGAAAGAGCCCTCTTTCCTGGACTGGCCGAGACCCTCTGGGCTCTGATTCCTCCCCCCTTCATCTGTGATTGCAGGAGAACTCGTTTTGGGGACCGCCCCAGACAAATTCACCCTGGAGGAGGCCAAGGCTCACTGTCAGGATCTGGGAGCGGAGATAGCGACGCCGGGCCAGCTGTACGCGGCCTGGAACGAAGGGCTGGACCACTGCAGCTCGGGCTGGCTGGCTGACGGCAGCGTCCGCTACCCCATTGTCACCCCGCGGGAACGGTGCGGAGGGAGCCAGCCGGGAGTCAAAACCGTCTTCCAGTTCCGGAACCAGACTGGATTCCCCAATGCCCAGAGCAGATACGATGTGTACTGCTTTCGAGGTAAGGAACCCGTCTCCGGGGTCGCAGAGAGATTGGCCCGCAGGCTGCCATCAGTCTTTCAGTCCTTAGCTGCCGAGGGCCTGATTTTACAGAGGTGCTGAACTCCCACAGCTGCCTCTGCCTGCAGCTGAAGTTTTGGGCGCTGAGCACTTCTGCAGATTACGACCTTACATAAGAATGGCCAGACTGGATCAGACCAATGGTCCGTTTAGCCCAGAACCCTGTCTTCCGGCGCCAGCTGCTTCAGAGGGAATGAGCAGAACAGGGCAAATTAGCGAGTGATCCACCGTCCAGTTCCAGCTTCTGGCCGAGGTTTGGGGACACCCGGAGCATGGGGTTACATCCCTGACCGTCTTGGCTAATAGCTGTTGATGGACCTTACAGTTACTTACCTGGGCTTGTAGCCAGAGAGCAAACCCTTGGGGCGTAATCCTGGTTCCAGTCAACGGAGCCTGGATTTCACCCTTGAAAGAGGAGTGCACGGTGGGCGTTTCCCCAAATAGGCCTCAGTTTTCTCACATTCCCATCTGTTTTGGGTGTTTCCTGTTCTGCCCTCACCAGAGACAGCGGCAGCCTAGTGATCCGCGCTAGGCACCTGCACTGAAGGTATTGAAGTGCCGTACCCCTATTGCCCTCACTTTACAGGAAGGAAACTGAGACACAGAGATTTTTTTTTAAAGCAAGTCTGTAGCAGAGTTGGGAATCAGACCCTGACTTCCTAGGGTCCAGAGCCACAGAACTGCAGTTGGTCTCCTGTTCCTATTGCATGTCCTTCACTGTGCTGCGTAAGAAGGGCAGCGTGACTTTCCCTTACATGACAGCATGGGACACAACACGGCGTTGTGTGACCGCTGAGACTTAGCCAAGGGGGTTGCCCAAAATATATCTTGCTGGCTATTTTATGTTGGTTATTAGGCATGGTGCCTAGGTCTTGGGGACTGGGCATGCTTCTGGATTCTGGCAGGAATCCCTTAGGGACAGTGATACTAACCCTGGCTTTTGATATCATCCGAACCCACCTGGTACCATGTGAGCTGGGTTCGCGGAGCCACTCAGCCCGATGGGTTTTCTGCAGGAGATGTGGATTCAGACTGAATGACAGGATCCCGCCAGAGAAAAAAATGCTGTGAACTGAATGTCTCTGCTTCACAGCTTGTCCCTTGTCACAAGGACGCTCCTGGCCCGTGTGTGTGTGAAGCTAGAGCAGGGCAGAACAGCTCAGCTTAAGAGGCGAGAAGTAGAAGCTGAGAGAGAGAGAAAAAAAGAAAGACTTTTTCTGGTTTAGACAGAAATTAGTTGCCTGACATATATCAGAGCCAGAACCCCGGTTGGTATAAATCAGTGTCACTCCTTTGGAATCACAATTGGTGTCAATGGGTGTCACTCTATTGAAGTCAGTGGGCCAGACCCCCAGCTGGCATCATTTGGCATAGTTCTGTTGGCCTCATTGAAGCTACACTATCATCCCCAGATAAAGATCTGGCCTGTTTTCATTTTATTAAATATTATTAAACATAACAACACTGCAAAATGCCGCAGGGTCTTTCCTTGTAGCCATGGGGCCGGAGTGACAATATTCTGAGACAAAACAGGCAGGATTGGGAATGGATTTCTCAGGGGATTGGGAATGGGATAGTATGGACACTTTCCCCTCTTGGCTGCTGGTTCAATGATTGATCAGTGATGGCCAAAGCTCCTTGTAACACGCTGATGCCTCTGAGCCACCTGTGTGATAACTCAGAAGGTCTCAGTCCGGATCTGGAAAGGTTTTTTTCATTCCGGTGACAAATTTTGACCAAAATTAATAATGTCATTTCCGTTAATATTTTTCTTCCAAAGCTTTTTTGGGGGGGTTCTCATTAACAAAAAAATTTTAATCTTTTTTCAAGAAAACTCAAACTGTTTAGTGAAAAACTTAAGTTCCCATGAGAATTTTTCTCTCTCTCTTGCTCTCTTTTTTTTTGGTGACTAGAAAGCCCATTTTTAGTTAGAAAAACTCTTTGAAGAAAACATGTTGACCAGCTCCCGTCTGAGTCCATGTCCCATTGGGCAAGGAGCTCTCCACATCATGAAACAGGCCACAATTTTCAAAAGGAACTAGTTCCTGTGGATGCCTAACAGGAGAGGCCTTCAAAAGGGACCTGGTTTTCAGAGGGCTTATGGGGTTTCAAGTTGGCCCCCTCCCAAATCTGAGAATCCTGGCCCCTTCAGCCCCCTCGTTGGCAGTGTTTAAAGAGGCCGCAGTTCCCCTTTGGGGGGAGATGGAAGAAGCTTTTACCACCTACACTCTCTGCTGTGGCTAATTCCAGGGCTTCAGTTTCTGAAGCTACCCATAAATCCCCTTGGGATGGCTGCCATCTTGGCTACAGCACTAAGCTGGTGTAGACGGGGCTGTAGCAGACTCATATTCTCTGGATTTCTGCAGGGCTGACTCTATAACATGTTCCCCGCTGGGTTACACACTCCCCGGGCTTTTAAGCTGTTTGGTTCAGGATCTCACAAATTCAATAGAAAGGGGATAAAATAAGCTCAGGCCAGAGAAAAGAAGAGCTAAAATGATGCAAGTGTAAAAATCGATGCCAACTGGACACCCATTTTAGCTGCAAGGTTCGGACTGAGAGGTGGGGTCGAATTCACTCGAAGTTATGGGGGTGGAGGGACGGGTCAGAGCCAGGAGTTTTGCTTTGGTTTATTGTAAAGCAGGGAGGCCCAGCTCCTCAGCAGGTGTAAATCTGGGTGGCTTTAATGGAGGTAGGCCCAGCTGAGCGTCCGGGCCAAGATTTAGCTTCACTGTTCAGCTCTGGAGCTGGGACTGGATCTAAATCGCCAGGGCGTTCTCAGGCCTTGCTCGGATATAAACTCGAAGGGCCTGATTCTCAGTTATGCTTGGTCCCCTCTACACCCTTCTCCGGTGGTGTAAAGGACCCTTAACCTGGATGCCATGACACCCATTTGGAGGTCCTTTTGCACTGCAAGGAACCTCGGTGTCAATGAGAATCAGGCCCCAAAGCTTGACATGGGCTGGATTTATCCCTGAGGAAACTCCACGGGAGTCACTGGAGTTCACCAGGGTGAATCTGGCTCATCTTCTCTGCCCTGCTTGAACCATGCCTCAGACGGAGAGTGAGGGCAGTCCTGCTTTGAAAGGGTATTGATTGGAAGGTGTCGCTGCCTGACACCCCGGGGACAGGCCAAGGCAGTAATCTCCCGCTTTCTTTTTGCTCACAGAAGAGACAGACTCTTTCACGGAGTCTCCAGAAAAATACCGAGCCACTGAGCCCGAGGGGGTCAAGGAGATTGTTACAGTGACAGACAAGATGGAGGAGCTGCAGCTGCCCAGAGCGGAAGTGGAGAATGAGTCGAGAGGGGCTATATACGCCGTCCCTCTTTTTCAGGACATGAGTGATGCTGAGCAGCAAAAGCCGAGCAGTGCCCCCGAAGAGGCATCAATTCCTATCTCCCGGGAAGCCCTGCTAGATAACTCCGTATCCTCAGATCTAGGACTTCACCCGCCATCACGTTTCCCCGAGAGCCAAGCCAGTCCCGAGGCAGGTCTGATTAGCAGCGATGTAAAACCAGGGAGCCCTGCCCCTCCAGCTGAGGAAGGGGAAAAGGGGAGAATTGGAAATTGCACAGAGACACCCAGGAATGGTAGGTAGAGAATCCTCTGTAGTGTGATCAGGGAACATTTTTAGGGCAATGGCTGGAATGGGGTCACAAACGCAGCATGTGCCCAAACTCCAGAGTCCGTAGGGCTGGTATTGTCAAAGAAGCCAAAGGGATTTAGATGCCCACGTTACAATGAGAGTTGGGCACCTTTGACAATCACAGGCTAATCCAGTCTCTCCTACAGGTGGCTCGTGTCAGTTGGCCCCCTTGTCAGAATCTCTCCAAATACTTTCACAGGCAATATTTATGGAGAGAGCTGGTTGAAGAACCAGTAAGACAAAATGTAATGAACATTTTTGGATTTTTAAACTGTTTCTTTGAAACTTTGAAAAAATGTTTCAACATTTTTCTATCCAGGGGATCAAAAAACTGAAAAACATTTGTCAGAAACGTTCAACTTCTTTTTCCCCCAGTTGAAATTAAATGAAGAATCAAAATTTGCAAAAGTCCCATTAGCTCAAACTAGTGTTGGGTTTGGTGCTGAAATCCCACGAAATTCATGGCAGGTTCAGAACCTGGATCCAGAACCCAATTTGGCTGCTGGCTCCTTCCTTCCACTTTTAATAAAATAAAAGGGGTGAAAAGAGAGGGGAATTCACATATTTATGAAAAGTAAAATGTGCACAGAGCCAGTTCATTTTGTAGTTCTGGCAACAAAGGACTCGGAACCAGCTCTTCACCTCGTGTAAATGGCCTCACTCACTTCATTTAAATGGGAGTTCACACCAGCTGAGGAATCTGGTTTATAATTCTCAGACAAAAAACACTGTTAAAATGGAGTAAAGTTTGATGTTAAGTTAGCAAAACAAGGAGGCTGGATAGTCTAGTGGTTAGGGCACTAGCCTGGGATACAGGAGATCTGCATTAAATTATCTTTTCTGCACAGACTTCCTGTGTAAACGTGGCCAAGTCAGTTAGCCTCTTGTGCCTCGGTTTCCCATCTGTAAATTGGGTATAATACCATTGCCCTATCTCACAGGGTTGTTGTAAGGATAAATACATTGAAGACTGTGAGGTGCTTGAGATATAATGGTAAGAGGGCAATATAAATACCTAAGATAGATATAATATGGATGATCAACTTAAGGACAAATGTTAGAGAGATGTCGTGATGATCAATGACGACATTTGTGTTCTGAAATATTGGTTTGAAATTAAAACTGTGGTTTCGTCATGTTGAATCATTTCATTTTGATTAAAAATGCTGAAATATTTAGCTCCGACATTTCCGCTTAGAAACTTTTCATTCCACGAGAAGTTTCAATATTTCAACTTTTGCGGAATGGTAACTTAATTTGAAATGTTGACGTTTTCCCTGGGGGATGAAAACCCCTGTTTCCGAGCAGCTCTGGTTGTTTGTCCTGAAGGAGGCAGGAGGTAGTTTGATTGCTGTCTTTTTCATTTGAATTTTGCAGAGGAAGAACGTGGAACTGACCCGTTGGAGGGAGAGAACGTGAGGACTGCTGAAGAGAAGCAGACTCCAGGCAGCAGCCACCAGGGATCAGATGGGGTGAATCTAGTTCTTCCCACTGAGATGACTCCAGGAGAGCCCCAGTCCATGGTCCCCCACGCAGAGGTAGAAATGACTGGTGGAGACATGACCGCCAGCCCTACAAATGCGCCAGCGGAAATCTCACCGAAACTAGCCGGATCCGGTGATGCAATCAAACCCAATATGTCTCACGTCCCTGTCAGTTCCCACCAAGAACGCAGAGAGGAGCCCACAGCAGAAGGCAGCTCTGCTGATGGCTTAGGAGTGGATTTCATCCCTGGTTCATCCCTGGACCTAGAGGTCGTTGCCACGAAGAAGGTGGATGCTCTGGAGCAGCTAGCTCGCACCACCAGCTCCAGGGGCATCAAGGAGGACTCTGGGGTGCAAGAGCACTCTCCTACCGTCGCTGCTTCTGCTGCCCCAACTGTGGGGTGGAAGGCAGAAGATCTCAAAGAACCAGGTCAGCGGCTCTTTACGGAACGTGCCCAGACCTACGCCACACCTCCAAGTGGGCTTGTTTCCGGGATGAGCAGCACACGCTTCCCTGACCCGGGCAGACGCCCGGGTTCTTCTGAAGATACAGAGCTGTCTGGAGATGTGGCTCTTGGCCCAGTGTGGCCAAAAGGGACCTCAACGATTCAGGATACCCCGCTGTCTGCATCCCCTGGTATGGGAACATCCAGCCTCCAGGAGAACGAGGAGCACTCGGGTTCTACCTGGCTTCTGCAGCCCGCCACCCCCCGCTCCCAGACGGGGGACATCCGCTCTGCCTCCCGACCGGAGGGGACGATGGTTGCCCTCACCATTTCGCACACCGAAGTAGGCCAGGTCCACACAATGCTGCCACCCAGCGGGGAGTCTCCAGCAGAGGACGACAGCCAGACGGTGGGACGCAAGAGCGTGGAGCCGCCCGACTCCGACGCGAGCGGCCCGTTGTCAGGTGAATCATCTGAGGAGGAGAAGGCCATTGAAGAGCAAACTGTTCCCTCCGCGACCCCAGCAATGGCGGCCATCTCCCCCATGGGTACTGGAGAACCAGAAGGGGAAGGATGCTCATCCAGCGCCAAGCACGGCCTCACCTCCCCCACTGCAGACGTCTTCAAAGAAGCATCGGGCCCAGCGTTGGACGGGATCCCTTTCACAGACGCCCCTTTGACCACCACCAGCCCTCTCCCCGTCCTGCCAACAGACAGCGCCAGCCTGGGAGCAGGGGTGAACATTTCAGGTAACCCGTACGGCTCTGCTGCCTTGGCCCTCTGGGCAGCCATATACACCGGCCTCTCGCACTAAAAACCTCGCTTGCACACTGTGCTTTCCTCTGTCTCTCCATTTGTCTGTCTGTCTTTCTCTCCCCTCCCCTCTTCAGCTGGATCAGGGAAGTTTAAGGGTCCGGAGAAGCACATATTTGTCAAACAAATTAGTCTCAACTGTGCATGCACTTTAAATCTCTTGCTACTTCTGTGAAGTGTTTTTAACGACTGTTTCGATGAAAAAAAACCCCAACGTACTATGACTAACAACGGTACTAATAAAGCGAATTAAAAGCTTTCTAGAACAAAACCACCTTGGCTAGATCTGTGCTTCCCTTTGTCCTGATTGGTCCATTGCCTTGTGTCTTATTGCAATTTTCCTCGTGCGTGTGTGTGTGTGTGTGCGTGCAGGTGTGTCTTTCCCACTGATGAACTAATTCTCTTTACACCTGGCCTAAGAACTGTGGGCCAAATTATAAACCCTTTATGTATAGTGGGCCTGATTCTCATTTACCCTGAGGCCCCTTTGCACAGCTCTGCCGGTGTAGCTGTTACTGTTTTACTGTGTTACTGTTTGCATTGTGATGGTGTCTTGAAGAGTTTTGCAAACTGACAAACTGGAAAAAAAATTCAGCTTCGGTGAATGGAAACATTTGGAGCACTTTTGAAATATTTCATTTGGATTTTGACCGTAGACCACCCCTTTTTCAACCTTTCAAGTTGCTTGAACTAGAAAAAAAAAAAACAAAAACCCACCCCAAAACTTTTCCTTTAGAAAATGCCGAAACAGAATGTTTCTTTTTCCACATTGGTTTGAGCCCGGAAATTCGCTGAATTGCCCCTCTCCCGTGAACAGTTTCAGTTTTGACCAAATCGGCATGCGTTGGTGAGAAAACCATTTCGTCAGAAATTCCTGACTAGTTCTAGCTGCTGTTGCTTGGGCTCAGCTTCTCTCGCTGGGGCTGCAACAGATTCATCTCCTCTGTGAATTGGCAAAGAGGGGGGCCTGGAACCTACGTTCACCAGTGAGCTACAGTTGTGTCTGGGGGGGCCCCCAGTCAGGGATCAGGGCAAGAATGAAGTGAAAATTTTCATCCAAAACTTTTTTTCACTGAACGCTGCAGGTTCAGCCACACCAAAACACTGGCGAATTCATGTAAAAAAGAAAACCAAAATTGCAAAAAAAAAAAAAAAGAAAAAAAGCCCAGGTGTTCCGTTCGTCGAGTTTCAGAATGAAACTTTTTGATTTTTTGGTTCAGAGCGACTTTGTTTAAATTATTTAAATTTTTAAATACATTTCAGTTTTTTAAAGAACACTTTAAAAATGCTCAAAATTCAAGTGCATTTTGCTCCAGGTTGAACAAAGTGTTTCATGTGACCCAAAACAAAGTTTTTTCAAACTTTTCAATTTGCCCAACATTTTGAAAAATTTCATTTTCAGTTTAATTCGAACCAATTTTTCCCTCGATTTTTCTGAATGGCCAAGAACCGAAAAATGTCATTTGCCCAACTCTGATCGGGCCTCTGGTGCTAGGAGCGGTACAAACCCACAGGAAAGACCCAGTCCCTTGCCAGAGAGCTTACAATCCAATAAAGAGGGCTACTCTTAATTAAACTAGTATATTGCAAATAATAGCCCAAACCATTGTAGTAGTGAATTAAGAATGAAATGCAATTATGACCCCTAATAGGTTAGGGGGAGGGATAGCTCAGTGGTTTGAGCATTGGCCTGCTAAACCCAGGGTTGTGAGTTCAATCCTTGAGGGGGCCATTTAGGGATCTGGGGCAAAAAATTGGGGATTGGTCCTGCTTCAAGCAGGGGGTTGGACTAGGTGACCTCCTGAGGTCCCTTCCAACCCTATGATTCTATGATAGGCTTCCATGTCACATTTCAGATGAAAGAGAAGGCCTCTGGCAGCACAGCATTGTGGGTCAGTGCTGAATCATAGGGAAGAGCGCCCTCTGCTGTCACAGAAACACAACCTCCTGCAGCAACCTCAGACATCTCCCATCTACTCACCGACCTAGCCTGATTCCGCTCAGCTGATATAGCCCAGTTCATTCAGATGGCAGGCGGAGAGAGGGAAATGAGTTAGCGCTAGGGTGACCAGAGGTCCTGATTTTATAGGGACTGTCCCGATTTTGGGGGTTTTTTCTTATATAGGCACCTATTACCTCCCCCACCTCCTGTCCCGATTTTTTACACTTGCTATCCGGTCACCCTAGTCAGCGCTCAGATTTCCGAGTGGTAGCCGTGTTAGTCTGTATCAGCAAAAATAACGAGGAGTCCTTGTGGCACCTTAGAGACGAACAGATTTATTTGGGCGTAAGCTTTCGTGGGTTAGAACCCGCTTCAGCGTTGTGCTTCTGCGGAGAAGGCTTTGTCCTTATCCCTTAGGCTGTCGAAGGGAGTGCCGACTCTGGGATTGTAGCCTCTGGTGGAGCTGCAGTAGAGTCAGATGTGCAATTTAAACCGTGCAACGCACCCTGTATTGGGGTAGCTGACCTGGGTTTCCAGGGTCCGATCAATTGTGCATAGGCCCTGAGTGAAGGTGCCGCGTACCCCGACAGAAGGAGATCTTCTGCCGACATAGGAATACTGCCTCCCCGGATGACGTTAGGTATGCTAACAGCAACATTTGCAGTGTAGACCAGGACCAACGGGAGACAGGGATTGTTTAGGGTGGCTTTAAGGAAGCCTCACCAGGCACAAAGAGAAATTTGGGCTGCAGATCAAGACATGTTTCCTGTTGCTCAGAGCAGAACAGTCTCCCTAAGGGAGGTATCCATCACATGGGGGCATTTTAGGTGGGACCAGACAAAGCACTTTGAGATTAGAATGGGGAAATGATCCTTACACATGATCTGTGGTAGGGTGGGACCGGATGACCTCCTAGGTCCTTTTCCTCTTTAAGAAGCTCACAGAGGCCCTGATCTCCTCACTGAGAAACTCCCACTGATCCAAAATCTTGCGATGCTCCCAACAGAAAGCACGGGCTGACTCTGACGTGAACCAGTCTGGTCTCCCCAAGCCCTGCATCCGTTATCGGTCTTATTAAAGCAAACGCTGCCGTGATTATAAATACTGTATGCACTGCGCATTCCCCCTTTTTAATCCCTAACCCAAGGTCAAAGGCAGAGACACTGTCTTTATGGATGAGGACACTGATTTTAGTGGGAGTTAGGCACCAAAATCCGTTTGAGGATCTGGGCCTAATATCACACATCAAGTCTGCAGCAAGGGATGAAACTCAGGACTCCTAAGTCTCAGCCTAGCAGCCTATAACCACGGGACTGTCCTTCATTACTTCACGCAGCATCCTGTCCCCAGTATTGATCACTAGAGGTGCTTCAGAGGAAGATGCAAAAGAACCCCTGCAGTGGCTAGATTCGGGATAGGCAGCCGGCCTAAGCCCTAGCAGAGATCCTCTTAAGCCTTGAGGAGGTTTTTACTTTATATCTATTGCAAACCTCTGTTTTTTTAGCATTTACTCTTCTATGTCTGGATCTTCTTGTTAACCACATCAGCCTCTCAAACCTCTTTGGCTCCTTCTCAGTTCTCGGCCTCAATGACTTCCTGTGGAGAGGAGAGCCTCAATCTGGTTTGAAAGCCTGGTGTGTCAGTACCACGTAGGAAAGATGGTGCAGTGGTAAGGGCCCTCGCCTATCACTTGGGAGACCTGCATACAAGTCCCTGCTCTACCATGGGCTTCCACTGTGAGTTTGGGCAACTCACCTGGCCTCTCTAGGGCCCAGTTCCCTTTCTGTCTAAGGGAGAAAACAGCACGGCCCTGCCTCCCAGACAGCAGAGAGGATAAGTACATTAAAGATTAGCGAGATGCTTGGATGCTATGGGGATGGGAGATAGATAAGTACATATTTGTATCATGGACCAAGACCCTATGCTGCTGGGTGCTGTGCAAACACAGACCAAAACTACAGTCCTTCCTCCAAAGAGCTTGAAGTCTACCTATGAGACAGCAGATTCGGGCGAGGGGGATTGGAGCTCAGGAGTGCGACTCTGGGACAATGCTGTCTGCTGATGTTCGTTAGGGGTGAAATTTTCAAAGCCAAATAAAAGATTTGGATGCCCATTTGCCACTCAAATTAAAATCTTCACCTGCGTGTTCAGAATGCCGTGAACACTCTAACCCCTTGGAGGAATGTGATTTTAATTTTTTTAATATAATATTGATGTTTATTTTTAAGCATTTTTTCAATTTTTAATCGATTTAAAGTTTCCCGGTGACTTAAGCCCCATAATTTTGTGCATTTCCCCCACAATTTTTATTGTTTTACATTTTCACAGTTGCAGGAAATTATGGGAAGGTCAGGCAATATGGGGGAGGGGGAGGGATCAGGCAAAGATTATGGCAGGAGATGTTCAGATTCAAAAAGTTAATGCTTTATAACCGGTATAACACAAATTGTCACCATCACATGCCAAAATATACAAAGGGCATATCCTTAAACCGAACTCTAAGAAGTTCTCGAGCTGCCAATTGCTTCCTTTGCCTAGCTGTAAATTTCAATTGTAATTGATGGAAATATTTTTCCATGGGTTTGCCTGTGCGTACGGTGCAATTGACACTTATCGACATTCACCAATAAAAATCACATCCTTCCAAGTCCGTTAGTGAGATCACTGTAATTCTTCCCTGTTTGATAAACGGGGAAACTGAAGCACAGAATACTTCAACTAATACAAGGCTACAGAGCATGGGAATAGCGGAGCTGAGAACGGGACTCAGATTTACTGGGGGGCGAGTGCTTGGATCATTAGCCCAGGCCGCCATCCCCCGCGGGTATTTCCCAGCCAACGCCATTCTCTATCCCCGGATAAGTCTGACTCTTAGCTCAGTCCTATCTAGCAGGAGGGGACCCACCACCAGAACTCATTCCTATTCCTTGGGAGACAGCAATCCCTTCCTGAGATGCATGTCTCCACCTCCTCCCCCTCATGGCTTCTCAGACAATCCTCCCAGTGCGAACGGAACGTGCAGTAGATCCTCTTGCTCTGAAAGAATCCCCCTTCTCCCTAGAGTCCACTACAGCACTCCATCCCCGGGGCCCACAAATCCAATGGCCAGTACTGAGCTCACACAAAGACAATTATTAGGGTTTTATTGAATGCCCCTCCTCACCCCCTGCCCAGCACTTACCTTCTCTAGGGTTCCTTTGAAAGGTCAAATCGCCACCACCACTCAGGTCTGTCCCGTCGGCTCTGTGGGATGGAACCCCATTTGTAACAGTGTCCGAGAGGGCTCGCTGCGTCTGGGGGGGGCTGCTGCACGTGGGTCTCCCAACATGACTGAGCTTCATGAGATGGAACCTTAAACACCGGTGCTGCTTCTTTACCCGCAGTGGAGCCCCCAACATGGGGGTGTCTGGTCACGCTCGGCTCTCCAAGAGGACTGGGGCATTCGGTTCTTCATGCTGCCATAAGACTGGCTCGTTGCTCTGCATCTCTTGCGAGCCTTAGGCCTAGACAAAGCAGGCCTCCTCTGGTTTAAGATCTGACACAGAGCCAGAACTTTAGGGGGTATGCTCAGGTCTTGCAGTGAGGTTTGAATCCTGCCCTTTCCCAACACTTGAGAGGGAACTGCGGGTTGGCAGATCTGAGGCTTGGAGTCCACCTCGATTTACACTGCATTCTGGGCATTTCACAGATTCGGCATGAGCAGGAGAGAGGGCTGCCTGCTGTCTCCCTGGCAGCTGGCTCTGAGACCCCATTGCTGGCTCCTGGAGAAGTCTGGAACAGTTGCAGCCAAGCCCGATCTCTCAGGGTGCTGCTCAGATTTGCTCCCACGATTCATGTCACCTGGGATCCCAGGGCTCAGCTCCCAGCTTCATTCTTTGAATGTGCTTTCAGATGACTGCATCCCAAACCCTTGTATGAATGGAGGGACCTGCAGCGAAGAAGAATACCGCATCAGCTGTATATGTCTGCCAGGCTATGGAGGAGACATCTGTGAAACAGGTGAGTCCAGGCGGGCACCACAGACACAGCCTGAAAGGCTGTTGTATTTTGAGGAAACAGAACAAACTCACAGCCCGCTTAGGCTGCTAATTGTCCTGCGTGCCACAGGCAATTTCAGGGCAGCAGCTGGGATAGAACCCAGATCCTCCAGCTCTAACAGCCACCTGAGCTCAAGTGGTGGAGGGGCCTATGACACACAGTTGAGTAGTTCTGATTCTGTCCAGGAGAGGGCAGTGGCACGCACACACCAGTTTAATAATAATAAGTCCCTGGTCTTCAAACCAACGATGAGACCTTGCTGGTTTTTAATTTCAATGGAGTTCAGTGGCAGAACTGGTGGACTCTAACTCTGCTGCAGTGCATAAAACATAGCCCTTGTATAGCCCCAGAGCTGCAGGGACCTCATGCTAGCAGAGAGAGAGGACCTCAGGTCTACCTGACCCCATCTGTCCATGGCCTCTCTGCTAAGAAAGCCAAGAAGGGGGCAAATTTAATGCCAGCCAAGAAGGTGCTTTTGTTATGTGGACATCTTTTCAATTGGATCACGACCCAACAATTCAATTCATGTAGGCCACCACCCGTCTTGTGGGGCTTCAGCTCAAAGATGCATGGCTCCATACGGCCCTCCCGAGCCCTCCTGTAGACTACAGGGCTTCACTGCTGAATAACACAGCTAGAGAAAAATCAGGATAAAAAGTGTCCAGAGCTCACGCCCTGGGACAAATGACTAGCGCTATGGGAAGGATGGAAGTTCCATTTCGTGAAGGATTCCAAGATTTTGAAATATGGCTTTGTTCTGAATTGGAGCAAAACCTAAACGTTTCAAAATTCTCCACAATGAAAAAGTCCACAATAATTTTGTTTTGGGTCCATCGAAATGTTTTGCTTTGATTTTTATTTAATTTTGTATTTTTTATATATATACACACACACACATATACACAATATAGTATTATAATACCATTACAATATATAATACAAAATAAAAAAAAATTTAAAGGAAAAATTGAAACATTTTGTTCCACAAATATCGAAATGGGATGTTCTGACATTGTCAGAACTTTTTCTCTCCGGTTTTCTTCCTAAACGAAATTCCAGTAAACAGACCCAGTTTTGCAAAGTGTTCGCCTTTCGACGGAACTGCATAGTTCAGTGATAGTCAAACTTCAGTGGTTCAGGAGCCAAGTCAGTGATCAACATTACCCAAAAGAGCCCCAGTAGTGCGAATTCATTGTTTCATTTACATATTTTATATATATATAAAATATTCTCACAGCAAAATGACTGATCAAGTATTATATTACCAACTACAATTGGTTAAAACAGTAAAAGCATCCTGATTGGTTAATAATTAAATCCCACAATGTTTTAATATCACGTGCTGCAATGAGCCACAGGAGACACATTGAAGAGCCACTTGCAGCTCATGAGCCTTAGTCCGAGTATCACTGGCATAGTACAATGGAATGTGGATCCATCAGAGTTTCTCCAATGAACACTATGTAGGACCCACATTTCTCAAAGAGACACAAAGACACACAGCCACAATCCTAGTGACAAACACTTAAACACCTAAAGTGGAGCAAGCCTGTTAAAAGAATGTTAAGGTGTCTATGAACTGGGGCAAAACGTACCCAGAAATAACACGATGGAATAAGCTATTTGAATAATTAAGGCTCACCAGACCAGTTAAAGGTTAAAGAAAATCCAATAAATAATCATCTAAGACCCAAGGTTGGAGGGAAGCAAGAAGGAAAGACAATGAACGGATAAGAGCTATAATGCCTGTGTCTCCATTGCTTTCTACCTTGGGTGGTCATTTAAACCAGTGCAATCTGAGTGCAAAACATTGCTATTTTGATCTGGTGTAAATGACTGAGCAAGGTGCAAAGCAATGGAGAATCAGGCCTATAAAATGCAATAGAAAAGTGGGCTGCGTGGAGAATGGTTCTGTTCAGAGACAACTCTGGAATTCATGCGCATTTATATTAACATCCCTTTACCCAGTTCTGGCCGAGAAGTACAGTCATGCTCACTTTAAATCCTCTTTACGCTGCCCCAGCAGGGTAAAGGACGCATAGTGCAACTGAGAGAACCAGGTCTTTGTACTCAAGGGGAGCTGTACAATAGTCACTGATGGAGATGCGTGATCTACCAGACCCCCAGGGTGTATGTCTGGAAGATCCAGAGTCACACCAGGTGTGAATCTGACTCTAACCAAAATATAGGGCCAGATCCTCAGCTGTATAAACTGGCTCCATTGACTTCATCCAGTTTACATCAGCTGAGCATTTGGCCCATGGTTCATAATAATGCAAGGCCCTTATCAACCAAAACACGTTATGGGAAGCGGATTTTTGCGGAACGAGGTTCTCTCTTGATGTTTCTTTTGAAATGAGCATTCGACAGTTGCTGGGCGTAGCTGATCCGTCTCTGTACGGACACGCTTGTTTCTCTCGCTTCTCCAGTCATCTTGTCACTTTCTCCTCTCATTGGCTCTCTTGTTTGTCCTCTTTCCTTCCCTCCAGATCTGGAGAAGTGCAGCCTAGGCTGGGACAGCTTCCAGGGTTCCTGCTATAAACATTTCGCCACCCGAAGGAGCTGGGAGGATGCAGAAACTCAGTGCCGGCGTTATGGTGGCCACCTGGCCAACATCATGACCCCCGAAGAGCAGAACTTCATCAACAGTAAGTGGCATTGCCTTCAAATATCGGGAGCAAGGCCTCCCTAGAATCATGAGCTGGGGGCTTCAAAATCATGAGTTAAAAAAAAATACTTTTGAGCTCCTTTTTATTTGCCTTCAGGTTCCAGAGGCTAGGGAACATGCCCACACTGCATTGCAAACTGTTGTATCTAGTGTGACAAAGTTCCTCCTCTGCCTTGGTGGATCCTGCGCTTTCTGGTGGATTTGCTCACCTCAGAGGTTCCCGGCAGCCCTCAGTTTGGCCGTTTTTGCTAGAGGCTCAAACCTGCCTTTCACTCAGCTCACCTCATCACTGGCCAGCATGGGGGAAAGGGAGAACAATCTCTGCAGTCTCTGTTATCCCACCTAGTGGGTTGAGGACTGAGCAGATCCCTCTCCAAATTAGACCTTCCCCTCTGATGTGACTTTCAGTCCAGCTCAACTCCTCCTATGTCAAATAGTGGGTGGGGGGATGGGGGAACCCGGGCCCATCCTCTACTCCGGGTTCCAGCCAAGGGCCCTGTGGATAGTAGCTGTCTATAATGTCTCCTGTAATAGCTGCGTGACAGCTACAACTCCCTGGGCCACTTCCCCATGGCCTTCCCCCAGCACCTTCTTTATGCTCACGGCAGGACCTTCTTCCTGATGTCTGATAAGTCCTCAGTCCTCCAGCAGCACGTCCTCTTGCTCCCAGCTCCTTGCCCACCTCTCTCTAAGTGAAGGGAGGTCTTTTTTTTTAAAACCAGGTGCCCTGATTAGCCTGCTTGCCTTAATTGGTTCTACCAGGTTCCTGATTGTTCTGGAATAGTCCCTGTTATCTTACTCAGGGAAAAGGGACCTGCTTAATCTGGGGCTAATGTATCTACCTTCTAGCACTTTCCTGTAGCCATCTGGCCTGGCCCTGTCACACTAGCTATGTGCAGATAGCAACACACATTTGTGTTTGTAAGTTTGTTCCTAGGTAGTTTCTGTAGCCTTGGGTCCAGGAACTACAATTCCCAGGATGCACTGCAGAGAGTGTGAGGGCGTTGGGGAAGGAGAGAGAGAGGAAGAGAAGGAAAAATGAGAATATGAGCTGCGGGAAGAAGCGAGGGGAATAAACCTTACCTTTGCGGTTATCTAGCTTCCTGAGTCTTCCTCACAGCTGTTGAGGTACAAAACAAATTGGTGATGAGCACTAAAACCCCCCAGCGAAACCGAAATTCATAGAATCATAGAATATCAGGGTTGGAAGGGACCCCAGAAGGTCATCTAGTCCAACCCCCTGCTCGAAGCAGGACCAATTCCCAGTTAAATCATCCCAGCCAGGGCTTTGTCAAGCCTGACCTTAAAAACCTCTAAGGAAGGAGATTCTACCACCTCCCTAGGTAACGCATTCCAGTGTTTCACCACCCTCTTAGTGAAAAAGTTTTTCCTAATATCCAATCTAAACCTCCCCCACTGCAACTTGAGACCATTACTCCTCGTTCTGTCATCTGCTACCATTGAGAACAGTCTAGAGCCATCCTCTTTGGAACCCCCTTTCAGGTAGTTGAAAGCAGCTATCAAATCCCCCCTCATTCTTCTCTTCTGCAGGCTAAACAATCCCAGCTCCCTCAGCCTCTCCTCATAACTCATGTGTTCTAGACCCCTAATCATTTTTGTTGCCCTTCGCTGGACTCTCTCCAATTTATCCACATCCTTCTTGTAGTGTGGGGCCCAAAACTGGACACAGTACTCCAGATGAGGCCTCACCAATGTCGAATAGAGGGGAACGATCACATCCCTCGATCTGCTCGCTATGCCCCTACTTATACATCCCAATATGCCATTGGCCTTCTTGGCAACAAGGGCACACTGCTGACTCATATCCAGCTTCTCGTCCACTGTCACCCCTAGGTCCTTTTCCGCAGAACTGCTGCCTAGCCATTCGGTCCCTAGTCTGTAGCGGTGCATTGGATTCTTCCATCCTAAGTGCAGGACCCTGCACTTATCCTTATTGAACCTCATCAGATTTCTTTTGGCCCAATCCTCCAATTTGTCTAGGTCCTTCTGTATCCTATCCCTCCTCTCCAGCGTATCTACCACTCCTCCCAGTTTAGTATCATCCGCAAATTTGCTGAGAGTGCAATCCACACCATCCTCCAGATCATTTATGAAGATATTGAACAAAACCGGCCCCAGGACCGACCCTTGGGGCACTCCACTTGATACCGGCTGCCAACTAGACATGGAGCCATTGATCACTACCTGTTGAGCCCGACAATCTAGCCAGCTTTCTACCCACCTTATAGTGCATTCATCCAGCCCGTACTTCCTTAACTTGCTGACAAGAATACTGTGGGAGACCGTGTCAAAAGCTTTGCTAAAGTCAAGAAACAATACATCCACTGCTTTCCCTTCATCCACAGAACCAGTAATCTCATCATAAAAGGCGATTAGATTAGTCAGGCATGACCTTCCCTTGGTGAATCCATGCTGGCTGTTCCTGATCACTTTCCTCTCATGCAAGTGCTTCAGGATTGATTCTTTGAGGACCTGCTCCATGATTTTTCCAGGGACTGAGGTGAGGCTGACTGGCCTGTAGTTCCCAGGATCCTCCTTCTTCCCTTTTTTAAAGATTGGCACTACATTAGCCTTTTTCCAGTCATCCGGGACTTCCCCGGTTTGCCACGAGTTTTCAAAGATAATGGCCAATGGCTCTGCAATCACAGCCGCCAATTCCTTCAGCACTCTCGGATGCAACTCGTCCGGCCCCATGGACTTGTGCACGTCCAGCTTTTCTAAATAGTCCCTAACCACCTCTATCTCCACAGAGGGCTGGCCATCTCTTCCCCATTTTGTGATGCCCAGCGCAGCAGTCTGGGAGCTGACCTTGTTAGTGAAAACAGAGGCAAAAAAAGCATTGAGTACATTAGCTTTTTCCACATCCTCTGTCACTAGGTTGCCTCCCTCATTCAGTAAGGGGCCCACACTTTCCTTGGCTTTCTTCTTGTTGCCAACATACCTGAAAAAACCCTTCTTGTTACTCTTAACATCTCTTGCTAGCTGCAGCTCCAGGTGCGATTTGGCCCTCCTGATATCATTCCTACATGCCCGAGCAATATTTTTATACTCTTTTATTCTAATTTAACTGTTTTAGGGCTATCCAAGTGCCTCATAATCCTTGCTGCTGTTACCTGCTGTTGCTACTCCCAGGAAAACTCCACACTGGCCTAAAAGCCTGCTGCTGCCGGCAATTGCAGCTTGCTGAGAAGAGAAATTTGAAGGAGCACTATCTATTTTTCAACGTGCTCCTTTTCTCCAGGTGGCACGTTCCCCTGCAGTTCCGAGTACTCAGCTGCACCACGAACAGACTTTTACAGGGCTAGTCAGCAATTCTGTGACCAGAAAATCTTACCAGCTGATTGTTCTCCACCTTTCTTCCTGACTCCTCCAACTTGCTTCCACACTTATTACCATGACGCATGTCCTGTTTCCACTGTTCTTCATGCCTTCCCCTCAGGACATCCGTCACTCCCATGGGAACAGTGGAGGTCTTACTTCAGCAACTATGTGCTTTCTGTAGAAACTTCTCTATACTCTCCAGAAAAGCAGAAAGACTTACTGCTTCATTGCCTTGGTCCCAAAGGGCAACAAATCTTCAAACATCTTCCTCCTTTTCCTGACATACTGCAAAATGTGACTCTCTCCGCCCCGGAGGATCATTTTAATCCTTTACTCAATGTTACTGCTGGATGCTTCACGTTCTGTTCCCGTGTATAGATGCCTCATGAGCCCATCGACTACTGCATGGCTGCCTTATGTGAGTTGAGTGCAACCTGTGAATTTGCCATTTTCACAGATGAGATGCTCAGGATCAAATCATCATGACAGTTCCAAGATTCCAAGACTGTCTGAAACTATGCTAAGTAGACATCATTGAACCGGTTGACTCATCTGAATGGGTTTCTCCTATCATTCTTGCAAGGAAACCTAATGGTGCCATCTGCACGTGTGGACTTGAGAGCTCTAAATTCCAACAGAGTGGTGGATTGTCATCCTCTAACCAACGTCAGTGAAAAGCTGCTCACCTTGAAGGAAGCAAGAATCTTTATGACCCTTGATTTATCCTCAGTGTACCACCAGATCCCCTCAGTGGAAGTATCCCACATGTACACAGCTTTCATCACTCCAGAAGGCTTGTTCCAATTCAAACGGATGCCATTTGGGTTAGCCTCTGCAGCATCTGTATTCCAGAGAATGATGCATGTGATCGTTAGAGAGATACGGGTGTCCTTTCAAGAGCACAGTGTGGTGTACGGCAAAGATGATTCTGAACATGATGTCATCCTAACAAGGGTTCTGGAAAAACTCCAACAACATGGACTTACTAGCAGCGCACACACACAAAAAGGCAATTCTGTACTGACTCAGTGTCATGTCTAGGTCATATTAACTCTTGGAATGGCCTACAACCAAAACCAGACCGCGTGAAAGCCCTTTGCGAAGCACCAGAGTTGGACAATAAGGACAAACTTTGATCCTTCTTGGGACTGTGCGAATACTATTCAACGTTTGTGCGGCAGTTTGCTCTGAAAGTAGTTCCTTTGTGTTGTCGCCTAAAAACGAATGCATGGCTTGAATGGGATGAAGTGCACAAGAACAGCTTTAATGACCCAAAACCCGCAATTGCCACCGGCCCGACTCTTTGCAGCTCAAACGCAAAAGAGCTAACGATTGTCACCACGGATGCTTGTGAGTGCGGTCGTGGTGCTGTCTTGACTCGGCTAAGAAATGGACAAGAAGTCATTATTGCATTCGGGTCCAGAGCCCTGAGTGCTCCAGAAAAAACAGATTGTGTCATTGAGAAAGAAAGTCTGGCATGTTTCTGGGCAGTAAGACACTTCAGAACCTACCTGTGGGTAGGAGATTTATCTTGAGATCTGACCACAAACCTCTTTCAATTCTATTCACCATGCCAGGCTTGGCTCGACCAGACCAATACTGGTCAATCATTTGAGCGCTGTGAAGGAGCAAGGGGAATAAAACTTACCTTTGCTGTTCTCTAGCTTCCCAAGTCTTCCGCACAGGGGCTCAGATACAAAATAAACCAACGTCTGTGGGACCTGGGTTTGTACACTCGGTGTTTCCAAGAGTGTGCTTGAGCGTTCTCACTGCATTGTAAACCTGGGTGTACAATTGCTGGGCCTGGGTCTCACAGCTGGGCTAATGCGTCCACGCTGCACTACACCGACCTTCTGACTCAGATCTGTGGCTTGAGCTGCATCCACACTGACAGGGCTTGGCCCCAAGTCACAGTGGGACTCAGGCTCTGACCCAACCCCTAGCAGGATCCTAGGACTCAGGCCCCAAGTGCTCGCTGACCTGAGTCAACTGATTTGTGTGTGGACAGAAGAGGGTGGGGCGGGGCTGGGTTCAAACCTGAGTCAGAGCCCAGCCTTGTCGCGCAGCGTAGACAGACCCTACACATTTTTGAGCTTTTCTCTGCAACCACGACAGTTAGAAACTTACTTTTAGTTTTTCAGTGAAAGCTGAGGGCTTGTCTAGATGAACAAGTTAATTCAGGATAAAAATGGGGTATAAATCTACACCGCTCTCGCCTGCCACGCACATGTGCGTCTGGATCCTGCGGCTGTGCACTGAAAATTCCCTAGCGCACTTTAATCTACTCCTGTTTCAAAGCAGGGAACTCCCTCTGTAGCCTGTGAACTTTTCTCCCCTCTCCCGGCAGCATTCCCTGCTGTTCCTTGCAGCCGGTGTGGAGCGCCGCTCCCTTGCCTTCCTCCCCTGATGCATTAGCTAAGCCATGGTGGTGGCAGCAACAACCTGCAGATTAGAGAGAGCTGCTCTGTGTGTGGGTGCACGCACGTATCACGTGTACACACCTGTCTGAGGTGTGCACGAACGTTCACGTGGGTGCGTGCATGTGCGTGAAGGAGGCTCACCTCACTGAAAGTGGTGCGAGACACAGAGGTAAATGATCATGGAAAACTCAAGGATAGCTAGCTAGCTAGCTAGGATGTATGGGGATAGATGGATAGATAGATACTAAAGTTTAAAGAAAAACAAAGAGCACTCATGAAAAACCCAGGGAGGGAAAGAAGGCCGTACAGTGGGACACAGGGAGAAAGGGACAGAGGATCAGAGAGAAAGCGGATGCCGTAGTGGGGCAAAAAGCAGTCCAGGGCAGGAGGAAGGGAAGGTGTGAGACAGGGGAGGGGAAAGGGGGATTGTGTGCCGAAGGTTGCCGCCCTAACCTGGCAGGGCTGTCACTTGCAGTGTGAGCAGTGGGCCTGCACAGAGGCGGTGGGGAGCGGCTGCAGCTTGGAGTGCGGGATGAGAGGATGGGGAAATGGATGGACTCTGCTGCCCTCTCCTGGAAGGACCCAAGAACGAGCCCCCTTTAAACGAAATACCTTGAGCTTGACTCTGGGCTGCCCTGCACTCTGTGCATTTACCTCAGGGCACAGGGGTTACCAAACGCTACCAAATCACGACGAACACCTCGGACCTTAGAGCTGGTCACAGTTGCTTGGGAGTTTTCCTCTTTTGTCTAAATGCCACAGGAATTCAGTCAGCCTCCCATACGTGTCCTTGAAAATCACAGGCTGAAAATATAACCAGCCGTCTTGGCAGGGAAGTCAGTTCTCCTGCACCAGGGCACAGATGAGAGTCAGGTGCCCTGTGTCCAGGTAATTCCCTCCTTAACCATTGGGGGATTTTTGCCCTTTCCGCTGACGTGAGACAGGATACCGACCTAGATGGGCCATGCTTCTGCCAATCTGGCGGTTCCTGTTGGTTTAATTCGCCCTGCACTAACCACCCTTTGGATTCCAATCCCCCTTTGGATTCCAGATCAGTACAAGGAATATCAGTGGATCGGCCTGAATGATCGAACCATCGAAGGAGATTTCCAGTGGTCCGATGGGAGCCCCGTGGTAAGTCACAGGGGGTCAGCGCTCTGCTCTTCAGTGCAAAGGCCCCTTTGAGTCAGTGTGAGAGCTCAGTTAACCGGACACAGACTTACCAGGCACACAAACACTGGCTTAGCATGGCCATTTCAAATCATACACAGTAAAGGGCGAGGGGAAAACCCCTGTCAATGGCCTTTTGTTCTTCACAATCACTCGGAAAATATTCTACAGCTGTGGGTATGAATCAGACACTTGAATCATACTTTGCATCGATAGGCTGCTGGTTACATGGTAGCACTGCCCTGGAAGGCAGGCTGTAACCTTGTGCCAGACCACCTTGAGCTTGGACAAGCTACGCGTGATTTGGCTGGGAGGCCTCTGATGAAAACCCAGGCACTGGTATCAGTGATTCAGTTATAGGCGTTTTTCTTCTCCGAGTCTGTGCTGGGCAGAGGTAGAGGGCACCGGGCTACTGCAGGGATCTTTTCAGGAATGCCCCCGCCCCTTTGTTGTTCAGGGCCAGGGCCCAGGATATTAAAAGGCACTTAGGCGTCGCTGCATTCAGCATTGCAGCGCTTCACTGATTTAGGAACTGGCACCTGATTTTCAAAAGTGATTTAGGCACTTCTGAGCCTTAATCCCATTGACTGTCAAAGAATCCAGGCCTGGACCTTCAGGTGCTCAGCACCCACACTTGGGATCAGATTCAACCTACGGCTCTGTGTGTGTGTGTGCTCTCAATGGGAGCTAAGACCGGCTGAAAGCCTGCTCCCAATTATGGGTGCTGAAACCTTGCAAGAATTCTTGGCCTTAAGCCCTCGTGGTATTTTTTCCAAAGCAGAGGGAGGGGGGAGCTAATTCAGATTAAATTCCCTTTTGCTGCACCTCTTTCAATTCCCTGTGCAGTTTCAGGGGGGATGTAGTATTCTTCCCTTTCTGTTGCCGTGGGCGGTTAAACTTTCCACCCCAGAGGTGGCTGCATCTAAGGGGAGGGTGTAGAGACTTTCAGGGTTACTGTCTGACGTCCTGAAGGTTTTCCATGGTAACCTTGGGTTGGTCCTATTATCCCTTCCAGAGCAGGCCTGCAGGTTATCATCCTTTACAGTTGCTACTGATGCTACGACTAGCTAAACCCAACCCAGCGAGTGAAATGGACCTTGGAACAGCTTCCCAAGTGGCACAGTGGATTCTCCATCACTTGGGGTCTTGAGTTCAAGACTCGCTGCCTCTTGCTAAAAGACACCGTCTAGCTCAGTCACAAGTTATGCATCCAACACAAGATGAAATTCTCTGGCCTGTGCAACACAGGAGGTCAGACTTGATGATCCCAATGGCCACTTCTGGCCTTAAAAAAATAAATACATCTATGAATTTCCCCAGGCCCGGTCCTGTCTCCTATATCTGATGGCATCCGGATGACCTTTTTGTGTTGGAGCCCTAGCTTTTTCGGCAGTGTATTCCCCGCTGCAGAGCTCACTCATGCTCCTTTTCTTGGCAGCTCTATGAGAACTGGCACCATGGGCAGCCCGACAGCCATTTCCTGTCCGGAGAAGACTGCGTGGTCATAGTGTGGCATAACGGGGGGCAGTGGAGTGACGTGCCTTGCAACTACCACCTGTCCTACACCTGTAAAATGGGTCTAGGTAAGCCTCAGTTGTACCACATCTTCCACCGGTGCCGCCTTCCGCTCTGAGACCCAGGTGTTAGCACGGGGGCGGGTGGGGAGGACAGTTGGACATTCAACAGGTTTTTTCAATGGAAAACGGGCCCCGTGTCCAAAACAGACATTGGAATTGTCCATTTTTGAGGTTTTCATCCCCTAAACTGACGTTCTGTTGGTTTTTGGTAACTTAAAAACAAATACAAAACCACCAAACAGCGTGGCCAGTCGGGCAATAGATTTGATTTTACTGATCCTTTTTGCTCACACGGCAGGAGCGTTCTGGTTTTCGGGTGCCGAAAACTCAGCATTTTTCAAAAGACGTTGGGTTGCTGAAAACAAACATTTGTCAGGTTTGGGTTTTTCGGGGCGGGGGGGAGCCCCAAATGGTGTAGAAACATTTTGACAAAAACAAACCAAAAAGTTTTCATGTAACTTTTGCACAAAACATCCCCAACTGCCTGTGCTAGCCTGCAGCACTATACAAAAGCAACACTAACCAGCTTCTAATTCGGGTGCCTGATTCTCTGTTGCATTGCACCTGCTGCAGGAATTTCCATCCGTGCAACATGTTACCAGCCAGCCTGGGAGCATTTTACACCCATTTTGCACTGGGGTCGATAACGGCACAAGGTGCAGGGGAGCAGAGAATCAAGCCAGTCTCTTTGGGGTGGGGACTGGTTTTTTGGTTCGGTGTTTGTACAGCCAGGAGGCCATGACTGGAGCTGCCAGACTTTACTGCAACATAAGAAGAAAGCAGGAGACACATTTTTCCATGTATACCACCAAGAGAACTGGGTGGAAATGATGCAAACCCTAAATCGGATTGAAAAATAGAAGGGGATAAGAAAAAAATGACAAACATTTAGACTAAAATTCTGAGGTCCCCCCCCCCACTTTTTTTTTGGTGGAAATGAGAAATGTTGGTGAAAAGTTTCAGTGAAATTTTGAAAGGTTCCTCCCCTGACCTCTAATGTCTCTGGGTTCCCTGAGGCAATGGAGGGGGGAATCGTCTTGCAGAAGGGCTACTTGGCGGGGAAGGGAGAGGGGTCATCTTGCTAGGGTGTACTTGTGGGGCTTACATCATGTCTACCCCGGCCAAGACAGTGTCACATCCTGCATGACCTTTAACCCTTTGTCTCCCTTTCCATCGTCCCCCCAGTGTCTTGTACCTCCCCGCCCGAGATAACAAACGCCCACCGGTTTGGCAAACCAAAGCAGCGCTATGAGATCAACTCCATTGTACTGTATCAATGCCTGGACGGCTTCACCCAGCGCCACTCACCCGTGGTTCGGTGCCAGGAGGACGGCCGGTGGGAGTGGCCGCAGCTCAGCTGCGTTCCAAGTGAGTGCTTGGCAAACGCAGGGCTGAGTCCCTAGCCACCTCGTGCCTTTGATTTCAATGAAATGATGCTGACTCAGACCAGCAGGGGATCTGGCCCCTCAACTCCAATGGATCTGTGCCACTTTACACAAGTTGAGGGTCTGGTTCCTAGTATCTCAGCTGGCTAAAGAGCAGCCGAGGTGACAGTTCTGCATAGGCTGGAACACGGGCTCCTTTCACCAGTGCTGGCAGAGGGCGGGTTTTTGCATTGCTCGTGCCCCCCAAAGGTCAGGTGATTTCAATGGGTGTGCACAAATACAGGTTCGGGCCAGCTGTTTCCAGATGGGCACGGTGAGACACTAAGAAGGGTCATTAGATGCCATGTTCTACAGCGTGACATCATTGCCTGCAGGATCAGGAAGGGATTTGCCTCCCATGTGTCACTTAAAGTCAATTAGATGCACTGTGGGAGCTTTCCAACAGCTGATGAAAGAGCAGCTATTGTCCTGGGCTGGAGGCTGGACACAGAACGGGATGGACCAATGCTCTGATCTGCGCTGGGAGGAGGTGGGATGCTGAGCTTGCGTGGTCTGCTACAAGATGGCCGTCGGTGGCGTATTGGGCTAAACAGATCAGTTGTCCGATTCCCTATGGCAATGGGTGAGCTAACCCAAACCAAGCAAATATGCCGTGTCCTGAGTCCCGGGTGTATATTTGGCTGAACGGGGAGCAGGAAGTGACGTATACGTGGGAGGGCTACTGCAAAGCCTTGGGGCTGCATGTGGTGATCTGTTTGAGCATACCTGGAAACTTGCGAGAGCCGGAGCAAAATGTGTATAGCAAATAATTGATCCCATCCGTGTGTCGTCGAAAATCCTAGCGCATGACAGACAGCTCGAGGACATGCACGTGTGAGCTTGATGTGGGATAATGCTGGACAAGCAACTAATGAACTCCCAGTGCGATGGGTTGGCTAAAAGGGCAATGCAATCCTTGGATGTGTAAAGGGGACGAGTGAGTAGGAGTGGGGGGAGTGATTTCACCTGTGTATACAGCATTGGTGAGACCAATCCTGGGATACTGCGCCCAGTTCTGTATCCATGATTTAAAAAAAAAAAAAGTTGAAAAATTGGAAAGGATGCAGAGAAGTGCCACAACATTCATTTGAGGGCTGGAAAAGACATCTTATGGTGGGAGATTTAAAGAGCTCAATCTGTTTAATTGGCCAAAAAGAGCAAGGGGTGACTAGATTCCAATGCCTAAATACGTTGTAAAAACAGCAGATACGGAAGGGGTTTTTAATCTGGTGCAGAAAGGCAGGACAAGAACCAATGGCTGGAAGTTGAAGCCAGAAAAATTCAAATTAGAAATAAGGCACATATTTTTAACAGTGAGGGTGGCTGACCACTGGAATAAACCACCAAGGGAAGTGGTGGACTCTCTAGCTCAGTGGGTCTCAATCTATTTACCATTGTGGCCGCATCCAATACTATCTGTATGGCCCTGAGGATGTCACATGGGCTGCAGCTGTGTGCTAATTGGGCTGCAAGCGGCCTGCGGGCCGCAGGTTGAGAACCGCTTCTCCAGCTCGTGATATCTTCACATCCAGACTGGTTGCCTTTCTGAAAGATGCTTGAGTCAAACCCAAGTTATTGGGTTCAATACGGAAGTAACTGGGTGAAATTCTCTCGGCTGTGTTATACAGGAGGGGAGAATGGATGATCTAATGGTTCCTTTTGGCTTTATAATCTATGAATCCAAACGTGCTGGCATTTGACTGATGCTTTTGCTCCTTGTATATTTCTCTCTGAAAAGTTGGACCAAACCCTTGATGGCTGAGGATGGACCCAAGATGGAAGACATCCCTTCCCAGGGCACTGGGGCCGGTTCTGAATGGAAAGGGAGCTGGGAATATTTTTTTGTACAACAGTCTGAAAACCAGCAGGAAAAG